TAATCTACTTTATTCGTGGAGACAACATATCTTGGGATGTAGATAGATATTCAATAACAAGGACATGCCTTTGTTATCCAAGATGTGATAGGTTTTTTTGTCAAGACATGGTTAATTTGTCATGGTGTGTGTGATGACCAAAATCTTGGATGGTATCAAGGTCTTTTTGTGGGCTTGTGGGAATGAAGCCAATTTGTCACTTCACTCAGTCTTAGAGTGCTTTGTGTTGGACATTTTGTGCACTACCATGACCAAAAGATTCCAACCTATTTAAAAAAGATAAAAACATTCTTGGAAGAGTACTTTTTTGGCTACTTATTGCTTCAATGGTGTGACCATATGGAAAAGAGATGATTCATCTTTGACCAACATGAATGGTAGTACACTTTTTTTGGAAGAGGGTATCAAATTAAAATCATTTAATGGTCTCCCCTATTTAATTCCTCTCTTTATCCAAATTCAAATATAAATGTATATGCATGTATGAAATTAATGTTGCTTTGTACGATCTACCTTATGCGAGAGTGGAAGAATCTAATACTCCAGTAAATACTGACTGCAAAGTTGATAGAAGTTAAATATCAACTAGTATTCCACCTGTGCATTTGCACAAATATAAATAAATTATTGTGAGTCTGTATGCATATAATGATTAATTATTTTTCTCACTTTTTTGCAAACCAAATTTACAATTAAAAGAGTTGGAATATTTTTTTTTAAATTGCGTTTATCTGATTGGATGTAATGTATATTTTGGTACATCTTTTATTTGTGAATTATTTATTATTTATTTAAGAATTTCAAATATATTTTTTATTTTAAAAAAAAAATTAAATGTAACAACAATAATAACATCTAATCACATTATACGGTCAACACATTATATGGTCAACTGTTATTAATAAAAAATTTAAAATAATTTTTGTAATTTTGAAGTGATGAGTATTAATTATTTAATGATTAAATGAAAGATTAAATACATCAAAATGTAACGGTTTTTGGAGGGAAAATTGTTAAATTGCCACATAGGTAAAATTAAATAGGTTTTATTAAATGTTTTGAGCTAGTAATTATATATATATAGATTGATACAGTTTGTAAGGTCCTTAAAGTTAAGAATAATAGAGCGGAAAACATAAATGAGTACGTAATTTTATGTTGGATTCCGGTACAACATATGTGAGTTGAATCCAACTAATTTTATCTTCCCAACAAACAAGTACTTCATACAATGTTGAGGAAGGAAATTCAAAATTTGAACACTAGTTTGTATTACTACATCATATGTTGGGATGAATGTACAAATGCAGAAAGGGAATGAAAAAGAGAAATAAAGAACATGGGGGTAGTGGATGACATGATCACACATTTCTTATAGTGATTTATGGTTGAGAAACAATAAATGGGGAGAGACAGGTGGATTTAATGATATATAAATGATAGAATAGATGAAAATGAGCATATATCAATGTCATGAGATGGAAAAAAGATGCCCCAAACTAAGACAAATTTAATGGTAGCAGTTAACAGTTTCCATTGCTGGCAATGAAAGCTACTTGAATCATTTTGAAAGTATATATGGAACAACAGGTTGCTGATGGTGCGTTAAATATGTTTTCAATATTTTTGGAAAAGCATGTTTTAAACTTTGGGGAAAACAAATGTAAACTTATTTTATGAAATCTATATAT